CGCGCTGTTTACTAAGAAGGAAGGAGAACTTTGGCGCCCTCTACAAGCTTCCTAGTCCAAGTTTGTGTTCATCTCGAGACAATGCACTGGCGGAACCAAACCGGCTGGAAAAGAGGATGGCACGGTCGAAAGCCGCTAGAAGCTTGTGGAACCTTTGATCAGACCTCGTAGTGTTGGATAACGCGTTGTATCTCCAGTCTTATCAGAATGGTCCACCCAGGCTTATCGTTCCAAAATAGAAGGTGCTTCGAGACCCTGCCAAGCCGCACGCCGATGTGTTGACGGTGCATCACAACCAGTTAAAACTTTACCACTACTCGAGTAAACACCTTTACCTCACACCCGTGCCTCTGGCGGACATTCCAATCCCGGAGAATATAGTGGAGGTGCCTCCGGAGAGAGGGTTGGCTACTGACGTTCAGTGCAGTGGGGACAGAGCTAGTTCAGATAGGGGGAATAGTGTGACGGTAACTGCGGAACTTACAGCACCTTCCTAATTTCATTTAAACAAGATATTCTCATTTCTTCCTTTTATTATTGCAATATCGCCAGTGTGAATGCTGTGGTGGCCTAAGCCGAACACCACCAGGCTGACTGAACGTGTTGCTGGATCTGTACAATGACTCTTCTTCTCTGTATGTTTTCGTGGTGACCTTAATCTTCAGTCTGCTGTGTCCCGTTCGTCGCAATACACTGTGTCCGGCCTCCTTCTCCTCTTCTCCCTTGATCCGCGTGTGATCTGTTGTGTTTGTCTGTCGTGCGCTCGTAAGCGTTATCTTCACTGCTCGTTTGCAGACAGACAGTATCACAGGATTCATCTTACAGTTTTTGTCCTACAATACAACTTACAGGGGGAATGACATGTCACGTTGGTGCCTCTTCGGCCTGAATATTTCTTGGCCTTGGCTGCCTATCTGACCCCGTAGCTTTGCTTCGGTAGCTCACATTCTGACCAGCTTGGAGTTGTACTAAATCTCTTGGTTTGTTTGATCTCGGTTGCGTTATTCGGCTTGGGGTTACCCTAGGATGCACTGACAAAGGTGTTCCTGTCTGATTTCTTAGCCTATCCACACATCCCTTTTCAGTACGATTTGGATCAGGCACATTCTCGTTCGCTGCTTACGTTCCGCTCTCTCCTCATATGTTGGGTTGGGGTTTCGCCGTCCGATCTTGTCCATGAGGTCTGTGCCCGTTTCGGTACTCATTGAGCTAGTGGCTTTTCACTCTCCTACGTGATCGCTGACTTCCGCGCCCCTACAGTATGTTCCTGCAACCTGCAGTGTTAGTTACTGTTGATTTTGAAATGCTACTTCGGGATTCTGTATCCATAGTGCTTTGGCATTTGAATCAAAGTTGTTAAATGAATTGAACCAAGTGCCTATTTTACACATTATAATAATAAACTGTAGAGTACGGTAAGTTCCATGAGGCGAAAGTATTTGGGACTCAGCCATTTCTAGCGACGCAGTGGGTTAGTTTAACAATGCGAATATTACCAGCCGTTATGGCAACAACCTCTGCTAAGGTAGGTTATACAGTAGGTACGTTGGCCTATGATTCACGTACATCAATAACGTCTTTCGATGAGTGAAAAAACGGAAGGGGAATTGGTGTCCATTACAACAATGATGTGTACTTCTCCTTCCAACCAATGTCTTTGTACCTATCGTTGTTCATCTTTGAACTTTCAGATAGGGATAACGGTCCTGGAGGGTGGGAGTTGGGACCTAAAACGTGCTGAATAACGCCTGACACCTCAAACACTAGACAACCGATATTGCTGATCGCCACATCCTGAAATGCCTTTCACACGACTAGGTCCAAAAATAAGCTTTTCCAGAACGGCAGGTGGCTAGGGTGCAGAAAACTGACACGGAACTAGTGAACAGGAGACCAACGAAATACCCCTCACACGAGCTGACTATGGTCGCAAAAGAACATAATTCATTTTGTAAAGCATGAGAAAAGAGTAAGCTTGACGACGACAAGGACGAACCGGATCAACTCGACTAACAGTGCATTAACAAAATACACCTCTGGGACCAAACTTGCAACAGAAATGTCAGCAAATATGAATAAAGAGAAATCGTATCCAAGTATGTCAGGTTCATGCCCATGGGCTATGTTCCCTGTTTATTTCAAGTTAGCCACCCACTCGTTCACTGACTAGGTCCTATCGTGACAAAATGTTTCATCCTTGTTTGCTTATTGGACTACTACTCGTCAATAGACGTGGGTGGGCTGGCACTTATTATTCCGGGTTACATTAATCGAAGTAGGGTTGCAATGGAATGTAGGAAACTATGGTGTCCCGTAGCAACTCTCTGCTTGCTGCATTATCTTTTCTGTGTCTACGTTTCAGCTCCTTTATTCTCTAGAAATATCCACCAACGGTGCTTCCGTATTTTTTCCGGCCATTGTAGCCACGCCGCAGACTTTGCACTCGGCGCTGCCGATTATAAATAAACAAATAAATAGTACTTTATGCTAACATGTTTTCTGGCACGCCATAACATGCATGATCAAAAGTGTGCAAGCAACCACTTTTCGCAAAATGGAGAATAGGTTTTATGTAAAACGTAACAAAGGTACTATGTACTGGTGAAAAGCAACATATTTGTTACTGTGTTGATAATGAGGGTTCAAATATAAATAAATAAATAGATAAACTTTTATTCCCGGGTAAGTGAGGCACGCCTGCACGGGCATGATCTTGGTAAGAGTGCAACAGATGATCAAGTAATGTTTAACGAGGGTATGTAAGAATGTGTTAGAGCGCGCGCATCATAATTAGTGATGTGTGGTGTAGGGAGACTTGCTAGGGTGATCCAAAGGGCAGTGAATTTATTTGGTGCCGAGTCACGTCCGTCACGTCACAGTGTTGGTATGCAACCTTTTGTGACCTTGTATAGGGAGAAGGCCTGCCAGGCGAGAGCCCACATGGTCCTGCAAAGCTGCGGTCAATCGTTATTTCAGCCAAGTGTCGTTGCCAAGGCTGCATTCTGACCAGTTTAACTCAGCTATTCGTAGTCACACAGCAACCAATCTCTTCCGTTGGCTGACGAGGGGCTTAGCCAGGAGCTACCGTAGATGGTTGAGGCCACCGATACTGGTCGAAGATGTAGTCCAGCCACGGAAATAAAGCTGCGCAGATTGGTAAGAATTTGAAGTTTACTTTGTCTCCTCCCCACATTCACTTTATTCAGAACTAACTCACATCAGCACACCCTACTGACCGTTCCAGTGGACGATTAATTCACTCAGTCATCCCTTCTATTTCGCTGATGTGCATAAGTGATGAGATCGGACGGTCACCTTCGTTGTAAACTTGATATTGTCCATTTAGATATCCCATTTGAAGATGAATCTATAGAGCACACCCCGGTTATTCCTGTTCAGATTTGCACTTCTTATTGTATAACCCTATCGCTCATCACCTAGATTTAGTATACATCTTGTCGGCAAACGTATCAACAAACGCGCAGAGAGGACGGTGATTGCTAGCGTTACCGTGGAAAACAGTGAGCTGTTCTCAATCACTATAGACTGAAATAAGCAGCGAACAAAGGTGGTGTTGCTTGGAAAGGGGCTGTGGAGGTTTACTAGAGAGATGTGAAGCAGGATCGTTGCGCGAGTCAGGTTAGAGATGCTTATTCAATAGTCTAATCACGGTGCTCTGATTAACTAACGGTAACATGAAAGTGAATGTTTTTGCGCGCCTCAAAAGGACGCGTTTTCCTTTATTATACGTATCTTCATCTTAGAAAGATTGGAAGGTTAGTATGGAAAGAAACAAAACTGTGTCACCATGGTTTCAAAAAACGTAAGTTGGCAACAATTCGCGCAGCGGCGACGGATCAGGTAAATTAATGAAAGTGATTCACGCGTACTGATTTTAGGTCCCAGCTAACAACTCAATAAACATCACCTTTTTCGGAACTGCACTTATCTACGTTCCTTTACCATTGGCACTACTCCTAATCAACCTATCTCGTGAACCACATTTGAAAATCACATCATCACGCAGGAGTCAAGACAACATTTGACCGCTATTCATTTGCATTGGGTACGTGTCCAAACACGCAATGGCCATGGGTGATTTATCTCGCACCTACTCCCAAGACGTACGTCACATCATTGGGTGACAGGAAAACCTGCTCGCGATTCTCTTTCCGCGATCTCATTTGCAACCTTTCGCAGGACCCGACCTGGAACCACAATTATTACATATGAATACACTATAAGCCCCTGGCTTTTCATGTGCGAATAATATCTGGACAACTGCACCATTTTATTCGTGTTTAACAGCTGATGTTTCCACAAATCTCGAAGTAAGCGACACCAATCTTGGACCATATTGCGCAGGCCGAATGAACCAAGCTGAACTAACAAAGCCTAGTGCGCAAATCAAGACAGCTTAATGGCTAACATTTCACATATAGCTTAGGTCGATTACAGCGTATCACTAGGCATGCGGGGAATAAAATTTGGCAGGATACACTAGTAAATAGCCAGTGAAAGTTACCAATTGGAAACGATACTTTCAATTTACCAGAAGTGTAATTGTTAATTCATTTAAATAATATGAGGTTTCGACTGCCTAGCGGAAGTTCTCTTTATTCTCGATAAGCCGCGTGACAGTCAACGAAAAGTTCGAAGGATAGTGTGGCCTTCGGACCACAGCAAGAGCTGACGCGACTGTGATTAAAGACAAAAACATCCGCAGCATGGTGGAGTAAGAATCACTGCTTCTTTGTGGTCAGCATTGCGCAATCAAGTTTTAGAAACCAGTGTGTCACATTCTCATCATTTGCGTAATCTATCTTGTTCAAGTCTATCGTATCACGGAAAATATTAGGTAGTTCGGATACGGTCCTAGTAATCGGAGTGACACATGCTGACTTCAAAGTCAACGGAAGCTAAACTTGCGATTGCTTGTCGCAATCCGAGACGCGGCGGGTACTTCAAAACCCGACTATCAAAACCGAAGTCTTAACGTTTTAGCAGACACTGCTGGGCTACAACGAAAAGCGGTGATATCATATCGAGTAAGGTAAAAATGTTACCTTGCACACACGAGCCAACTCGTATTGCAGCTGCTTGATTGTACTATTTTTGGATTCCAAGATTTCCTGCAACAGAGGAAAAGTGTAGGTAAAGCATAATCATACATTGCGTGGTCTACTGAGTTTCTAAATACAAACAGGCGGGTAACAGATGGGTCGCAGTTAATGTTTTAGAATGTATTCCCATACTAGACATGTATTGGGGTCTACATTGTTACTAGTTATCAGCTGGCTGCGCCTGTTTAATGAAGTCTAATGACGTCCCAATGTAAAACGTACCCAGGAGCACTCAGTAACCCACAACTCTGCATCGGTCTGTCATACGCCATCATAACCTTGGCCAAAAACTTTTGAATCAACATTTATCATGCGCGTTAGCTAGAGGGGATAAGCACCTCGGCTATTATGCCCCAATAAAAAAGAAAAGGAACGAAATCCAACAGATGCATGCTGGCTAAGTCATCAGCAACGTATGGACATCGTTCCGCATGGCTAAAAAGCGGTTATAGTGCTGCAAACAAAGAGTTACGTTATGCCTAATAAATGAGATCGTGGTTGGAGGGGATAGGACAAATAAACTCACGACACAAATGTCATTAGTTTCGGTTCCTTGCCATGTCAAGAAGCGCATACAGAAAATGTGCTCATCGTCTTTCGGACCCAAACCAGGGAGCCGATAGGCCAAATTCGAAGTGAAGGCCTTAATTCCTCTTGAACAATTCATCGCTTGGCTACCCCACCTCTTCTTCCAACTGCTCACTTGGCGCGCAAACAACGCACATTGCGGGAGTCGGTGGGCTGGTATGCGCAACACGTAGGCCAGCCATCGGAGTCTTGTGGGTGAAATAACGGTGCTGAGCGTTTCGTTTCTTCTTACTGTGCCATAAACAAGGCACCGAACACGCTCATTGCTCACGCGGTGTTCCCACAAGATATGAGCGAAACTGCGAAGGCACCGGTTGTCGAATGTAACTAGCCTCTTTATGTCCGCTGATGTAAGGGGGCAGGTTTCAGAACCATATAGCAGGGTCGAATTTACGGCTCCTTTGTATACGCTAACCTTCATGGTAAGAGTGATGTGGCGCTGGCGTCATAAATGGCGAAGGTTAGCAAAAGCTCCTCGTGCTTTTACTCTACGCTTCATGACCTCGTCTTCAATACCGACGGTGTTGATACAACTGCTTAGGTAGTTAAATTTTTAAGTGAATTCTAACTGAGACACAAGAAGTGTCAGCGCAGGAGGCGGTCCCTGCCAGTCCCGCAGGAAAGCTTTGCCTTTCGAGGACGCAAAGCATAGACCGAAACGGCTGACGGCCAGTGCTAATCTGTCCAGTGCCGCTTGACACATTTGTGGATTGTCACAGATGAGGGAACTATCGCCAGCATACTCCAAGTCAAGAAGTCGTTCACATAGGAGCAGCTCCACACCTACTAAGTCCTGTCCTGAGAACGCAATCTCCACGACTTCGTCAATTGGGAAGTTAAAAAGGGAAGATGACAGCAGCCATCCTTGCGTTATACCGCCGAAGGCAATGAAGAGCGGCGATAGCTTGTCGTAAGCCCACCCTGTGCCAGAGATCCGTGCGTAAAGCGTTTATGTAATATGTACATACTTCTCGGACACGCACAGTCCTTAAGGACACATCGATCAACCGAATCGAAGGTACTTTACTGCCCAGGAAAACGACTAAGATGGACCCCCAATATATGTGGCGGTGCTCTAACCTTTAACGCAAAGTGTGGGTGTGATCGCTGCAGCTCAGACCTCAACGAAACCCCACTTGATCCTCACGAATCTGGCCTTCACTAGTGCTAGTCAGTTTGTGCAGTATGGGGGAAGCAAGCAAATTAGGAGCGATGGAGATCAGGCTGATTCCTCTTTGGTTACCGCATTCTGAATGCGAGCCTCCCTGGAAGATCAGGAAGATAACGGCACGGCTGCTTTCGGTTTGGACAATTTCTTGCTCCCATATTTTCACTAGTAATTCATGTAAATCAACAACAAGTGAGCTAGATGTAGATAATTTGGTCCCGCGGCTTTATTCAACTTAAGCAGTCTGATCTCTCATTCGACTTCTGAGCGAGAGGGCGGATCCAAAAGGACAGCCTATGGAGCAGTGCCATCAGTGTCCGGCGACAAAGCTGGCAAATGCGATCGATTGAATTGCCTTTCAGTGGGCTCATACTACCATACTAAGCTTTGCCAATTTGTGCACAGGCTGTCTACTCTCGTCCCTTACATGTTCACTAACACCAGGTCTCCTGCTGCCCGATTCCCGTATCAAATGGAATAACTTCTGATAGTTAGCAAGTGCATCAGCCACAACCAGCTCTGACGTACGATGAAACCACCAGGACTCGCGATCTATCTTCATATTTGCACGCCGGTTTGCCCCGAGGTCTTTGCTCGTCTCATTGTGTTCATTTTCAGCTGGAATGTACCGGCGAGCATCGATAAGTTCCAGGGAATGAAAAGAGACCCAATATCCATGTTAGCTATTGGATTTGCCACATCAGGATCTGCCTGCTGCTGGTAAATCTGGTAAACATGTGACCACAGACCATCAAATGTATTCAGTGAGCGCTTACTCAACCGGAAGGTCAGCGTATTTCGATTCACATACACAATATCTGGCTTTGCCAGTTGGCTGGTGTCTATGCGACCACAAAGTCGTCGAGGGCGTCGACAAAAACGCCGTCGCAGACCAGTAGATACAAGTGTATGGTCAGTGTCCACACATGCGCTCCAAATCCAGCGACAGTTCTGGACGCAGCCTCTCCAGTGGCAACCGATTGCAATGTGATCGATTTACGTCCATGGCTGGTTCGAGGCTGGTGGGCTCCATGTCACCCTCTGGCGGAGGCAGTGTATGAACTTAGTGTTCACGAGAAATAAGCAACCATCTACACACAAATAAATTAATCACTCACCGCTATCAGTAGGGGAGTCTAAACCATGTTGACCGCCCATATGCACCTCATCAGTAGACAATTTTCCAGCTTGAGCATGCAGATCCCTAGCCAGCACTAGATTGGCCATTCTTTACCTGTGGAAAAGAAGCTCGCTCAGTTGGTGATAGAAGTTGTCTTTTACTGAGTTATCGATACATTTCGTGCTGGAGTAAGCAGCGATGACAAACTGACAACGTGACCTCGAAGCTTTGAACGGGCCAGAAAGTCGGACTGCACATATCTGGCTGCTGATTAGGATCCAATCAACCAGATCATCTTCATTGTGGGGACTCAAGGCAGTAACAACACCGGCTTAGCCAGCCCTCGAAGCCGCATCGCCTACGAATAGGTGCAAGGAGGAGGTACCGTTAGTGTCACCTGAAGGGGGTACAGCGTGAGCAAAGAGCTCGGATCTTGTAGGTGAGTTTCCTAAATACAGCAGATATCGATCCATAGGGGTTCTATCTTTTCGGCAAGTGTTGCCTGTTGACCGATCTGTATCAATGTGCGTGCTTTGAGGCAGGCCAATCTGAATGGGGGATTATGAAGACGGGAAGGCTTGAGCAGTAAGATCCGAATCCGTATCTAACCTGCTCGAGGCAGTGGATAGAGCGCCGTTTATTACACTATGCAACGGCGAGAGCACAAAGAAATATTTTGAAGGTAAATTCATTGTATTGCCTTGCATGAACAGGATACCGTAAGGTCACCCAGGCCTAGACAGGAGAACGATTGGGGTTCTCAACTAAAGCCCTTGGTTTAAAAACTTGACTGCAAGGCAGGTGGTTGGGTAATGGTCTACAAGGAGTCCGTGATAAGGAATAAGGAGCAACCCTCACTCAAACCGCCAACCAGGAGGACCAGGAGCATGAGTTTGTCTGGCCCCTGACTAGTGATCAATCTGGAATGAGTGGCTCTGTAGACGCGTTGTACCACCCAGCATAGCTCAAAGGATCGCTAAGGAACGCAAACCATCGCATCACAGTTAGGTACAGCCTCATTGAAATCAACTACTACGCCACTGACTGCGTAACAGCTCACGAAAGCCATAAACGATTCAAGATGGACAAATTGCGTGAAGGAATGCATAATCCCAAGGCGCAGATTTCAGTCATGTCACTCGCTGAATTTGGCAGAATGGGTTGGTTATCACTCGTCATCAACACTGGCTATCCTTCCAAGTGAATATACAAAAACTAGCTGGTAGGTACCTTAAGTCATAAAAAGAAAGAGGGTGGAAGTTGAAAGTAATAATAAGTGCAGAAAACCATTATATATATATATATAAGATGGTTTTCTGTACATATTATTACTTTCAACTTTCACTCATCCTCTCTCTCTCTCTATATATATATATATATATGTATATATATATATATATATATATATATATATATATATATATATACGAAGCACGGTAAGAAGATGCAGGCTGGTAGATGCATGCATTTCGTATTGTCTCCTCAGTACATTAACAATAACCAATATGCATAGATATAGCTAACTGTGTGTGCAAGCAGACAAGATTGAGGTGCAGAACGAATGACCGAAGTTTGTAGCGCTCTAAAAGATAACTGCTATCTTTCATGTACAATTTAATTGTTGTCCGGTTGTACATTCCTCCTTGTTTTAATCTTCCTTACAACCGGCTGGTCACTCGACAGCCTTGTAAGTTCCCGCGCTCAAGTGTTCGCTCTCTTCTCGCTTCATCCGTCCGCTTCTTATTGTAGCCCATCGAATATAGTCCGCTGTGTCCAATTGCCTTCAGATATCAGCGCTTAATTTCGCGCACCGTCTCGGACTAGTATTAACTAGTCCTACAAGTTCACACGTACACACATAAATAATAGAACTCTGACTTCCCGAATATGCGAGCATGTACCTAGATGCGTTCGTTGTTCAGTTGCTCATAATGCCTACGCTCGTCAAATTCCGTTTCCGCACTGACCGCCGGCTTCTTCGATAGGCAAACACCTATTAGATTCGGGTCACCTTATATAGCAGGGCCCATCGCTTACAGTTTCGTTAGGTCGCACTAATCCGCGCTTCCTTCAGTGGCTAGAAGCCGAATGAAGCCAGCCTTGTGTGTTCAGAAACAATTATTTGTCAGCCTAAAGCTGTCTTGGGTGTACGTGTGAACTTCCGTCATTCGTTCTGCACCTCAATCTTGTTTGCTTGCATCTGCTGTTAGCTTTATCTATGCACATTGTTTATTGTTAATGGTACTGAGGAGACAATACAAAATGCATGCATTTAACAGACTTTGTCCTCTTTTCGTTATTTTCAAATTATTGGAGGGAACCAACTGCTTTTTATATATATGCCTAATGCGAAGGAGTGTGGGTGAGCACGGTTGATGCTAAGTGGCTCCCGTCCATAGGTATTCCGGTCTAAATCCCTCGAGATTCTGCTGGCGATGGGGTGTGGAATGGAGTTGCAGGTGGTGCAGCGCAATTCACCCATGGACAAAGACAAATCTACCTTCGTTTAACGTGGACAAGAGCAGGACTGTACATGTACGCCACAAACCCACTTACGCATATAAGCCTGGAGACCAAACGCTGAAAACCGCCACACAGAAGCGCGACCTTGAGTTGGCGATGCAAAACAACCCCGGCTGTTCGGCGCAGTTTTTGAAGGCGTCCAAAACCGCTAACCAACAGTTTGGTTTCTTACGGTTGGCGTTCGGGCAGTTCGACCCCTCCATCTTCCCCCAAATGATCAATGCGTATGTGAGACGCCACTTGCAGTGCGCCATTCAGGCCTGGTATCCCTAGTTAAAACGCAATCTGGTTGCACCGGATACCGCAGATCGAAGGGCAACCAAAAATGTGAAGCGATTGTTCCTACTGTCATACGATCTACGAATGAAAATTTCAAGTGTGCATAACTAGTTACCGCCGTCTACGAGGCGACCTCATTCCGTTTTATCAGATCTTGAAAAACCCCGGTCACGCTTGCCGCCACCTCCTAAAACTTAGCCGTAACACAAAATTGAGGGCTCACCAGCTGAAACTGGCTACGCAATACAGTCGGTTGGAATGCCGCCGGAACTACTGTTCTCTTCGAAGTTGCCAACCTTGGAAGGCTATTCCGACGTTTGTGATTTCTGCGCCCACACTACCTGTTTTTAAAAAAATGACTCGACGATGCATTATAACAACTGCATTACCTGATTTGATTTCTGTTCACTTAGTGACAACAGGACGCAGACAAACATGGTACACTCTAACCCACATTAAATTGGTTTAAACAGATACACAAGAACCTTAACCACCATGACTTACCGTGGATTTACACTTTGTACTGCGAATATTGCGGTGAGTCCGCTAGTGTGAACCTGATTTTGATGACAATATTCACATTATTTTGAAGTTCCACCATGATCATCTTGCGGGACCTGTTAAGCTCCAGCATTTGTAGCGGTATAAATTTATTGTTGCACTGTTCCATTTTACCTTCAATGTTCGTTCTCTGTCGCTGGATGAATGAATATTGAGGGGGCTAATTGAGAATCACGACTGGCTCTTAGGAAATATAGCATCCGGAAGCTGTTCGAATTTTCGCTGAATTTTTGTGTGTATGTAGTTCCAATAGACCTAAGTAAGATTTTCTTTACTCTGGGAACTGAAAGATGATAGTAACATGGTTTCCCATGTACCATATTCTTGAGCTTTTGAGGAATTATAGATGCTCCTAAACTTTTGAGTTAAGCATGAAGAAGAGAGATAAGATGCCTAGTACCAACAAACACAATATTGAGATAGTGAGTGAAAAACGACCGAGTAACCTTCGCTTTGCGGAACTTACATTCAGTTTCTTCGCAGAAGCCGCAAGGGCCGCTGGATCCAGATTACTGACGCTAAGCACTTCGCTCATGTGTGCCTCTTTTTTCTCCACTATTTCTGTAAGAGCCGTCAGCTGTTTTTCCAGTAACAAGTTCTTCAAACCGGCTTTTTGTTGAACCTCATGAATGGTAGACACAAACCTTTTGCGCAGTTCGTCACGTTCATTTTCGATCTAAAAATTAGAAAGAGCTGCGCGTGCTTATTTCCAATAGTGAGGAAATCTGGACATAAACCGCCAATGATGTCGATGAATTATTGATTGCTACTCAACCAAGCCAAAGTTACGCGCATTTAGGTATAGCTGTACAGACCCACCCCGCTGGGTGAACCAGTTATCCAGCTTCACAGCTGCGAAGCCACGATTAGTGCACCCCTTGCTTAGAAGTACCAAACATCATTAGCGGTAGCTGCGGATTGAAATGGGTGTACGATAAGAGGTTGCTAACCAAGTAAAGTTGATCCACTGCCAGCTATTTCGGAGAAGGTAACAAATCCATGTGAAATATGCCGTAAGAATCGTAGTTCACTGTTTATTTTTACTCAGCTAAATCAGTAGCTAAGACCTCGTTACGCTAGCAACTTCGGTTGGGTTATCTATTCAGCCTTGCTTAACGTCGATTAAGAAAAAGTGGAGTGGGGAAATCTAACTACAACCACTTTTGAACTGAAGTCGAATGGAGGGCATGGGTAACTTGCGTTGATGTTAGTCTTGATGAAGCTCCGAGCGTCTCAGATTGCGCGAGGACAGGAATATGCAAATAAAACGAATTGAAGTATGGGGTTCCGTGTGCCATATATCTGAATCTTTTAAGCGCTGGAGCAGCGCCACAAAGCATTAAGCATGGCAGCGTTCTGTTCAATGATTGACGCCCCCAAGTCCGTTGTTCGAGAAATTAGTTAATGAAAAATCCGGATACCTGCAGCTTTCCTCTTAACTTTGTCACGGTATTACTATTACAAGGTTTGCCAAAAGATGCCGGCAATACCTCGCCCGTTTATATTGGAGCTTGCCAGTTTTGCAAGCGCAAAACATATCAAGCAAATGCCACGTGAAGTCGCCCACCAATGGAAGACCAACTACGCTGCAGTAGAAACGATTATGGCTTATGCTATCCTCTCCGTTCTGCTCTCAAAAGCCGCATTAACTGAGTAAGTGACTGAGTTGGAAGAATTGTTAGAACAATCCTTAACAAAAAATTAACTGATAGGCCGACACAGATCTTTTCAATCTTGAGATGCTCTACACCAACAAAGACAAAATACTATTGTAGACATGGGTCGACATGACACCCTGTCTCACAGTCACCAGGTATCAGGCTGAAGAGTTTCGTCGGCGCGGTGTTTTAGAGAGATGCGTTGTCTTTGGCTCCAAAGTTAGAGCATGTGAATCTGCAAAGCATTAGGCTCCAGCGAAGACCGCGAAGCAAGCGTATATTCATCAACGTCAGTTTGCTTACCGATGTACTCCAGGCCATGTCACAGTATTCATTAAAAATATGTTCACTATAAACTGAGGATGCTAAGCGAAATGGCAAATGTAGCCAGCACTCACTGTGCGGCAATTCTGCTGTTCAGCGCGACTAATAAGTTATGTTCCGTATTAAGACACTGACACCGAAACGAGCTTAGGTGTGTATTTAATGGAATGGTACAGACTAAGAGGAGATTTAATCGAGATGTTTAAAATCATGAAGGGTTTCAGTGGTATCTAGTATACTGAACTGTTTGAGCTAGTCATGTCAGATGACCTGCCTGGACACCAATTGAAGCTCAAGGATCAGAGATCTAGGCTGGATAACAGGGCGAAATTCCTTGTGAATCGTGTAGTCAACAGCTGAAATAAGATACCTCCAGCATTAAGAGAATGCAGCACCGTAGTGGCCTTTAAAAGAGACTTAGATAGGTGTTGGTCTGAATATTTTCCATTACTGTAATTTCATTGCTTCATGTCGCTGTAACCTCGTACTGTATAACAGTACAGAGAGTACATTTATTTTTGCTTCAATATTTTGCAGAAGTCGCGAAGGTTAATCAGACTTCGAAGTACCGAGGGCTCTGGTTCGCTTACAGGTGAAAGAACAGGACGCTCGTTAGGCGGAAGCCTGTATCGTCCTTGGAAGCTGACCTGACCTGACCTAACCTTGGACGACCTACGAAGGCTGGGTCGTGTTGCTTTGCCTAATCAAGAGATGGAGCACTGTGACGGTCCAGTGGCAAGACACAAACTAAAGAAAAATTTCTTAGCGCGACTTGCTATAATCAAGATGTGTTTTATTTCTGGGATTCTTGCGGCGTAGTTAGCCATATTAGTTGCAAATTTGTTGCACTTCTCGTTTTGTCGGATTTACTTCGTCGCACGTTGTCGTGCATCCCTGGATCTATACATGTTGGTCTCGAACTGGCAGACCACACCTCGTTAAATTGTTCTCTTGGTGATACCACTGGAACAGAAAAGTTCGGGCAGTGTTTCATTCATTGCCAAGCGCATAACATTGCGTTATTCCAACCGACAAACTCATTATTTTGCCTTACGTTACAGTACATTCCAGCAGCTTTCCAATATATTCTCACTTTTTAAGTTCGCCGTTGTAGGGAGCAGCTACAGAGTTGTTTACGGTTCTTTGCAGCGCACCTTACTGAGCCTCTCGGTAAGTCCGCCCTGTCATTCCCCACCCTGAAGGTTTGCGAAACTTTGTCTAGCAAATCACAGTATGGTCTACCGTACGGTCGATCGATGCATTCTGTTCGAAATACTTACGCGGAAAAGTGTTCCCACGAAATATGTGAACATCCTTCGTGCTCTATACTGGAACACTACGGGCCGCGTCCAGGTTTACAGTAACCTGTCGATAGCTTTCCAACCACAAGTGGCGTTTATCAGGGTTGACCGGTTTCCCCAATTTTATTCACTTTCTTAATGGACTCTATTATGGAGTGTTCTCTTGCGGAACCTCACGATGTAACCGTTGTGGTCCTGCCTGGTGAAAGGTTAGTTGATCTTGAGCGTGCGGACGATAGTCTTGCCTTTCGACGATGTTGCAGCGGCACAATCAACCCTGAATAGTTTATCTAGAGTTGTCCCATTATTTGGTATGCGCTTCGCACCTTCAAAGTGCAAAGTGTTGCTGCAAGACCACCAGCCACTTGATGACCCTTTAATCCTTGATAACGAAAAACTCGAGGTTGCTGATCAACTCACTTAACTTGGCAGCTGCATCAGCAACGTTGCGATCATAGAAACTGACGTCAGTTCACGCCGTGCAAAATCCAGGACGGTCTTCCTGAACCTTTGGCATCTTTGGCGACAGAAGGGAGTTTTCCTCCGTCTGAAAGGTCGTGGATACAAGGCCACAGTGTGAGCCGTCCTGCTCTATGGGATTTAAACTTGGCCTCTTCGTTTCGAAGATCTGAGGCGCCTCCAAGTCTTTGATCATCGTTGTCTGCGAAGCATTGCTGGAGTCGGATGGCACCAACGTGTCCGCAACGATGATGTGTGTAAACAAGTACTAAATAGCGATAAACATGCTAGCTCCCTAGAAAAACAGATTGCACTGAATAAGTTGGGTTGGCTTGGGCACGTACTACGAATGCCTAATCACCACTTACCTAGGAGGGCATTGTTTAGTTTGCCAGGTGTAGGGTGGTGCAAGGTTCTAGGTGGACAGAAGTTGACTTGGCAGTGGGAAACGAAGTTACTGACAAGCATACTGGATGCCTTTCGTTCTTCTCGCCTTCCGGGCTAGAGTCCACGTGACTCGTCTTGTGCTTGGCTCGAGATTTTACAGCACATGGCTTGAAGTCGACACGAGTGGCGGGTCTGCTGTCGTCTTCTAATCGGAGTGCCAGTTTAAAGTGTTTTTTGCTGATTTATCTGCAGGATAATGGCTGATTATGAGGCGGGGCAGTGAAAGCCGCAAGGAAGCAATCTCGACGATGTCGCCTTATGTTTGCAAGATGGCTAGCTGTTTGTGACGGTGTTGTTAACACAAGGTGTAGGCGCCTTGAGCCTGAACGTTTGCTTAGAACATTAAGGTTTTCCGTTAAGTCCCCTTCTCGCCGTCTTATTATTGTTTATTCCATAGGTCAACATGGTTGTATGGCAGCGAAGCATCAGTTAAATGGCTGATGTACTGCTGTTGTTGGTGATGATGGACATTTGTGGACAGTCCACTAGGTATCAGCGACCACGTTGTCATAACATTTAACTAGACTTACTGTGCAGAGTTTCTAACTAAACATAAGGATATACTCATCTAATCACATGTTACCACGTCGTAACAACACTGTACGACGCATGCACTCGGGTACTCCTCAAGCAACAGTCCACTTGACAGCACGTGGATATACTTCGTTGAAGGATTTAGCGACAAGATCACTAGAGCATCAAAAATCAAGCCGCTACGTTCCGTAAAATCGCCGTCGTTTCTAAAATATAGCACTTAAAAGTATGTTGCAAAAGGCATGCAGCACGGCATACCTACAAGAGCGTTAAGAGAACACTGATTCACCGCATCACCGTTAACTAGCGAGTCCGTGCAGACAACGTTATCAGTCCTCAATGTCTCGAAAAAGTTTCAGATCAAAAGTAAACTATCTTTCAGGTGTATCAACAGCCTTCGTAAAGCATGACACCCCCATTCTTCACAGCAGACGGTAGGGCGCAACGCGCCGATGAGGCGGCTACTGCCCTGCTGCTACAACACACCTTGACTTTATAGCTTTTAGCCTCTCTCTTAAATATCCGGATATCTATTTCACCTATGCCAGAAAGTATAGATGTCATCTTCAACCCATCAGTTGTGCTAAAGGCTTTGCTCGCATAGCGCAACGGGAGCGGACTCAGTCGCCTGAAGGTATTGAAGGTTACTGCTAATAAGCTAACTGAGCCCCTGTTGAAGGTTTTCTAATGGCGCTTAGATGAACATGTTTGACAATATATAACACGGCATCATCACCCTAATTTTTGAAGATAGTGACTGTTTAGTGTCAAAAGGTCATCCGCAGTACGCAGTACGCGTGTCGACGCTTCTCTGCAACCCAGGCACTACCAGTCGCGCGATGGCAAAGGAGAATGAGTGGCTCGCTTTGTCCACAATTCGGGATCAAACCCGAAACTTCCGGGGTGCATGGCAGATGCCTTGATTTTTCGTCCACGGGTTGGCTACACAGATTCTAACCCGCGGCCTCATGATTGCAAGGAGTCTTCGCAATCCCTAAGTTCACGAGCCAGACGTTTAGACCCTGCAAACTGTAGCCAGGTCGCTACGAGACTGGACCTTAATGTGTTACGACGGTTTGCGTAACTCTTCGACCCACTGGGATATACTGGGTGGTGCCCCCGGGCCCACTGAGAGCTACTCCAACCAGGCTGGATAATGGTGTGCCATCAGGAAATCTCAGTCTCCTTGCAAACCAGGGTGAGGGTTGGAAACCGAACGGGGTCCAGTTCTGTAAAATCAAATCATTGTTACCACCCCATAGCCTTGCAGACAGGCTTTTAAGCCAAAGGCCTTGGATGAGGACAGTAATCGTCCTCCTGTCTAGGTCAGGGTGACGTGGCATTATCTCAGCTCATCTACAACTACGACTTCAAACTTCAACCACCTTCTGCGTCAGCCGTTGCGCAGATTAAGAGGGTCTTCTTATCTGCTGCAAACATCAGGGCGGATAAGCAAAGACATGCTACTTTTGACGCCTTAATTCTTTATTTTTCAACGAATTGCTCTAACACTCCTCTCGATCCCCATTACTAACCTTAACTGACAGTAAGCGCAATGCCATTGGAGCCACACCATATGCAGCTACCTTCTCACACACCCCCTGAATGACGTTCATCGTTTGCACTGAAACAAATAGGTCAACAGGCTGCACTCGCAAGCAAGTTGAACACCCTGACATGGGTTGTGTTTCCTAGACATGGATCAATGACCCCCATGTGGTTGTCGAATTAATTGCGTCCGGCCTGTCGTCTCGCTATCGACGCGCTCGCCTGGAGACGAGGATGCGACAATCAGTCAAGCTGGGGTGAGCAAGGTTGTCAACCCAAAGGATGAGTCATAGTTGGCTGCCTGAATTCCTTTTGACGACATTAATTAAGCTCGTTTCGTGAAGTATTACTAGACCCTGTTTGTTTAGGTTTCCCGCTTATGCCTCCCCTCCCAACTGCAGTTCTGATGCTGCCAAGGACGTCAACTACCACGAAATGAATACACTTCTCCGCAGTATTAACCGTTGATTCATCCATCTGGATCTTGTGCTCACTAACGAAGAACTCATGATTGACGGCATAGTTACAAGAACACCACTGGGTCGTAGTGATCATGTTACTCTACTCTTTGACTATATATGCTATGCGGAGTACGCTGAATAGGAGGTTGACAAAGTGCATGCTGTCACGCACTACCATGTGTTCTCTAAGCTTTTAAAGATACAAATTGGACTTTCTTAACCGAATTCCCCCAGATGTTGTCTGGGA